CTCCATGTTCGGGAGCAATGAGGATTGGGGCCGATGTCAGTGATGCTTTGAGGATTTTTCAAAGCCTGTTGTTCCTCCTCTATCTAGATAAATGCGTCTGTCTTCTTGAGTAGTTTGTAGAGAGGCATCCCCTGTTTGCCTAGTCAGGAAAAGAACCGGCTCAGGACAGTTAGACAGTCGGTGAGCCTCTGTACGCTCCTTGATGTTGTGTATAGGGCCTATGTTAGAGATGGTCATGATTTTTTGAGGTTGGCTTCGATGCCACGCTGGGACACGATGTATCCGAGCAGCTTTTCCTTCGAAACCCCGAAAACACATTTTTCGGGATTCAATTTAACCTTGAACCTTCGGAGGTTCGCGAATGTAGCAGCCAAGTTTGCGATTAGGTCGCTAGCTTGAGCTATTTTCACTACTATGTCATCAACTTAGACGGCGATGGTTGGTTTTGACCGCTCGACTTGGTTAGTTTGATCGAGCGGGTTGATTTGGTCAGTGAACCATCGTTGCATGCACCGTTGATAGGTGGTGCCAGCGTTCTTTAAACCGAGAGGTATAGTAACACGTCTCAACACCATAGATCTTAGCGTCGATGTGTTTAACCGTGCATTATAGAAAATCTTAGATGACGTTAACGTGATCGGTAGCTCAATCCCAGAACATAACATATGGCGGCAACCGATGCGTTGTCAAATCGAAGAAGCCGGGGACGAGCCGAGGCCGAGCCCTGCCTGGACTGCCTGCCCTGGCTGGCTGCTGCTCGACTGCGCACTTTGCGTTGGGAAAGATATAAAGAAAGGAGGGAATCGGTCAGGATGACGGAAGAAAATCCAGCGCTCAAGATTTCTCATCATGATGCCTCTCGTGTCGCCACTGCGCACCTACACTAGGGCTACCGTAGTAGGAGCACTGTGGTACGAACATAGATATTGATGTGGAATGGCACATTGGCGTGGTCGCCAGGGTGATGGTTGTAGCTCTCTGTAGTAAAGCAAAGGAAGCATGCATGCTCTGGTAGAGTAGCTCGCCCAACTGAAAAGCCAGTGACGACAGCAACAGTCATCGCAATGTGACGGAACCGAGGGAGCTCATAGCCTTGTCCCCTTAGCCAGCAGGGGTCTTCGCAGGAACAACCTATTACTATTGCTAGTGTAGAGCACATCATTTATTTTCTTCCAGTTATTACAAGGAAAAAATGACTGATGATGAGCATATTTGTATTCTAACCAGAGCCTCGTTAGGATTAGGTGATGTTTGGTTGCTCATACTAAATTTTAGTTGTTGTTCTATTGAATATTTGATGTATATATATATGGATTAGTTAGGCTTAAAAAAATCATCTCATAGAGAACTGATGGATTATATAATTTAGTTTTTTTATTAGTATTCGAACATCCTCATACAACATCTTCACGACACATCTTCTAAATTTTAGTCACGAAATCTAAACACCCCTTTAATGTACCAGTACCAGACCAAACACAGAAAAAAAGCATGGAACATGGATGGCTATCCTATCACCTACTCCTACACGATGACCGAGGAGCAAAGGAAGGAATGGCGTGCAGAGAACACGAGTGAACTGAAATACCATTGCCATCTCTGGGTCTGTTTGGTTACTATACCTCCTTCTAAAATTATTATCACATCGAATATTTGGACACATATATAGAGTATTAAATATAGATTAATTACAAAACTAATTGTATAGTTTATGACTAATTTGTGAGACAAATCTTTTAAACCTAATTAATTTATGATTTCACAATGTGGTGCTACAGTAAACATATGCTAACAATGGATTAGTTAGGCTTAAAAAAATCATCTCGTGGAGTCCTGACGGATTATGTAATTTATTTTTTTATTAGTATCCGAATACCCTATATAACATTCTCACGACACACCTCCTAAATTTTAGTCACGGATCTAAACACTCTTTTAATGTACTAGTACCAGATTGTGACCAAACATAAAAGTACTACAATTACAGTTGTGCAGGGCATGAGCATGGGCACAAGCATGGAACATGGATGGCGGAGTAGGCCTTGTTTAGATGTCAAAATTTTTAGCAAAATAAAATTGTAGCAGTTTTTGTTGTTATTTGACAATTAATGTCTAATCATAGTCTAATTATGCTTAAAAGATTCGTCTCGTAGATTTCATCTAAACTGTATAATTAGTTTTATTTTTTATTTATATTTAATGTTTCATATATGTATTTAAAGATTTGATGTGACGAAAATCTTGAAAAAATTTGTAAATTTTTTTGCAACTAAACTGGACCATGACTGAGGAGCAAAGGAAGGAATGGCGTGCAGAGAACACCAGTGAACTGAAATACCCTTGCCATCTCAATCTCAAACACAGTGCTCCTACTATCGTAGCCCTAGTGTAGGTGTGCAGTGGCGACGCGAGAGACATCATGATGAGAAATCTTGGACGCTGGATTTTCTTTTCCTCTTTTCTTTATTTCTTTCCCAACGCCACGTAAAAAGAATCAAAGATGAATTTAAATCTATCGTGAAACCAAATGTAAATTTTCTTAAAAAAAAACCAACTCCACTCCTCCGGGCAAACAAATAAAGGACCTTGCACCCCATCAGCCTGGCTCAGCAATCGGTGCAGGTGATCAAACGCGCCCATAAAGTTTAGAATACGCGGTAGGACTGGTATTATTTGAAACATGATGGGGTCGTAGTATCATATAAGGTATTAGATCAAGCATGGAAAACCTCATTGAGCAACCTATCAAAGTTGACCCAAGAGGGCCCACCTGGCTCTGAAGCCGCAGATGCTCTCTCCTCCCATTGGGCAGCTTGTCCTCTCATCTTCCTGCCTTTCTCCCCTCCCATGACATGTCTTACTAGCGTCTCCACCTCCCCTCTCTTGACGTCGCTGCCGATCTCGACGCCGACGCGCCATTCCGTGCAGGCGAATCGGCGGTTGGTATGCTGGTCCGCACCAAAGGGCCAGCACAGCATGGGCATCCCGGAGCAGATGCCCTCGAGCATGGAGTTCCACCCACAGTGCGTCAGGAACACGCCGATGGCCTGGTGCCGGAGCACCTCCCGCTGAGGGCACCAGCTCGTCACATAGCCCCGGTCCTTGGTCGCCTCGACAAACTCCGGCGCTAGCGTCGTGGTCGTCTGCATGGTGGCCCTGAGCACCATCAGAAAGTGGTAGCCGCTGTGGGCCAACCCCCACGCGAACTCCTCGATCTGCTGGCTCGTCAGCACGACTATGCTCCCGAAGTTGGCATACACCACGGACCGGGGTTCCTTGCTCCCGAGCCAAGCCAGGCACCCGTCGTCCTCCTTGTTGAGGTTGGCGCTCAGCGTCTCCAGTGGGCCGGCATCGGCTTCCGTGAGCAGCGGGAGCGGGCCGACGGCATAGATGGGTGGAAGGACGGCCGACATGGCGGCGACGACCTCGCCCTCCAGCTCGCCGAACGTGTTGAGGACGACGGCGGTCGCGGCCGTCGATAGAGCCTGCACGTGTGCAAGGACGATGCGGAGCACGGGGTCATCGGGGTCCGTTGTCCGGACGAAGCTTGCCATGTCGCGCAGGCGCATGTCTGCCGGCAGCCCCGGCACCGGGTCGATGACCGTGCTGTCCAGGTAGACATCGCGCAGCTGCTCTTCATCTGCAGACGGAGTTGGACATTGATGGTTGGTAGCAATTGATGAACCAATCAATAATTGTTCATCTACGGATCGATATTAATCACTAATCAGAGACAGCTAGCATCTCCATGCAGAAGCGAACAGACTTACCTTTGAGGGGAATTATGCCCTTGTCGATGAGTTGTTGGCACTGCAGGGACGCCAGGAGCCCGCAGGCGCTCGTCGACCAGAAGGCCACCGCCCGGACACCCACGTCCGCGGCGGCGCGCAGGACGGGATCGATGTCGGAGACGACGCATGTTGCCGGTGCTCCGGAGGCAGACAGGTCGTCGAGCAGTTTCTTGAGGTGCGGGACAAAGGTGTCGAGTGACGCAAGCAGGGTGACCATATCCTGCAGGGAGTCGCCATCGTCTTCACCACAGGGCGGCGGCAGGCCGTCCGGGATGGAGGCGAAGCCAAAGCCCGGGGCGCCGGCCAGCGCGGCGGGGCCTCGTGTGCGGAGCAGGCGGCGGCGGTTGCGGTCGGAGTGGACGAAGGTGACGCGGACGCCGCCACGGACGTGGAGGAGCTTGGCCAAGTGCAGTGCCGGCGTGACGTGGCCCTGCACCGGGAATGGGAAGAACACCGCGTGGGTGGCTGGCTTCTCAGCTCGAGTCGACATGGCCGAGGGTCGGTCAGCTCTTGCGGTGCCAAGGTGCGGTTCCTGCTGCTGCTGCAGTGCTGCTTGCTCTGTCGAACACTCCTTCCCTATTAAATGAAGTTGCCGGTGGCCTGCGATACTTCCGATAAACTATTGGCACCCTGCCACCCAAAGCATCGGTTTTTGGCCATGGCGCTGAGACCTTGTGCACGTCGGGTGCCAGGTAAGGATGAAAACGGTCGAACTCGGTCGAAAAACTCCTCAACCGTTTTCTACTTTTACATTTGAAATACGAAAGCGAAAGCGAAAGCGGACAAACCGGACACGAAAACGAACACGAACTTACGGAATATCTAGAATTTCGGAAACGAACCAATTCGAGCGGAATTATGTCGAACACGGTCGGTATGCGAAAATTCAATACGAAATACCGACCCACGGTGCATAGCATTAAACAAGTGCACGACTAAATACATGACAAGTTCACAACTAACAAGTGTATGATCTAGTTTAAGTGTATAGCATTAAACAAGTGCCGTCCAAAATGTCCCAACATGCTCACATAGACACATGCCATGCAAGTTCTTAATTTTTTTCTCTCCCCACCTCTGTAGACTGTACTCCTATTTTGTACTAGTACTGGCCAGTGGCCACCACGGAACATCGACAGCCGCCTTGCGGTTCCCGTTGCGGGGCAGCGCCGGCGCGCAGACATCAATCGAGCAGACAGCAGAGCATGGTCATGGGTACATGGCGCCATCGGGCCCGCTCTTGAGCGGCGCATACGTGGTGAGGACGAGGCAGCAGAGGAGGGCGAAGGAGACGGCGGCCAGGTACGGCGCCAGCCTCGTCAGCTTGCCGCCGACGCGCCGCGTGTCCACGGCAGAAGCAGGGGCAGCGTGGCCACCTGCGCCGGCGGCATTACGTGCCTTTCGGGTGAAGGTGAAGCGGGCAAGAAGCACGGTGCCGATGACCGCGGCCACGCCGACGGACACGTCGACGAGGGAGCCGCGTTGTATGTAGAGGTCACCGGACACGGCGAGGAGGAGGAAGGCGGCGGCCCCGGTGAAGCTCGCCACCTGGGTCATGCTGGCGAAGCGCTCCATCCCCGTCCCCGTCGCCGTCCCCTGCGAGTGACCCTCCTCGCGGAAGACGCGGAGCAGAGGCCTGGCGCAGGGGAGGACGGCGGCGCCGGTGGCAAGGGCCGCGATGATGACGAGGCTCTTCATCTTCCTGGCGACGTCGGCAACAACAAGGCAGAGCAGGCCGAGGCCTCGGGCACCGGCTCACATAAACAAGGATCAAATTCAGTTCGAACCGAATTTCGAATTCGGGATATTCCGAATTAAAAGTAGAAAAGTAGAAATCGGTCGAACAAAGCCTAAACCGAATTCGATCTGATTTCGAATTTGGTGTTCCGAATTTCGAATTCGAATTTAGTATTCCGTATTTTGTCCGAAAATACGAATTCGCTCGGGTCAAATGTAGAAAACGATGCGGTTCGGTTCGGGATATTTCCTTTCCGTTTTCATCCTTAGTGCCAGGTCATCGTCACCTTCGACGTCTTGTCACGACCTCAGTGTTATTGACCATGGTGTCGAGACATGTTTCCTCAACGTCAAACCGCATGATCGTTGGGCTGGCCAACCCTCTCATAGAACTGAGATACGAACCGGCCAACTGAATAGGCTACAAAGTTATGACGTCGAGGTCATGATTCATAAGCGAAAATCAAACCATCGGAGATCTATTTGTGAATATTTTTCAAAAAAAAAGCTGAAAAATAAAAAAATTGTGCAGCCAGCAGCAGGTTTTGCTTGAGTATATATTGGCACATAATCCAGCTGACCATGACGCTGTGTGTTTCTAATTCCAGTGTGCAATCAGGTCAGAAACAGCTAGCTTCGATCCCCTGCAAATAAAGTAGACTAATCAGCCATTCATCCGTCTTCAGAATCAAATTTTCCAAGTCAAGCTACTTGTTACGGATGGACACTCAACCGTGAGATAAGATTACTTTTTTTTTCTTTATTGAAAAATACGGAATCAAGACTTAGTGGGCAAATTTATACTTTTTCCCGGTTTAGGATAAACATCAGAACTTTCATCAGATCATTGTTGGATGCAAATCAGCTTAGCCACTGTACTATGTCTGAAGTGTATTATTGGCACAATTTTCTAAGAAACTATGTACGCTTGTGACTGCAGAGAAGCAATTGTTCATTAGTAACATTCATCAGATCATTGTTGGATGCAAAAGATTTAGTTCTTCATCTGTCACAGTGATAAATTAATAATAATGGGAGCTGTTGTGTAGTCATATCTCCACATTTCTTCACACATACTCAGATTCAGGCATACAATTATAGGAGTCTGAAGGTTGGAATATGTATACAGCTATACAAGTAATATTCCTGTAGCTGTTCGTTATATACATTAGTAGTAGCCATCAATGGTGATTGGACATCGATAATGCATTCATATAGCATATAGCCATATAGGCAATAATATAAATAATGGATTAAGCATCCATCAGAACCAAATCCTATATGAATCATTGCGTGTTCATTGCTTACGAAGGCACAGTTTATATTGCGTGTTCATTGCCAGCTGAAAAACACGATTCCGGTCGAATTGTTGCGAGAAAAAAACATTGTTCCGGCTGAAAAAAAGAGCCAAACAAGTCGGCTTATTTTGACCAGCCAGAAATTTAGATTGAGTACCGTACCAGCTAGGATTATTGTCTGGAAGCTTCAGTCTTGGGACCAATTCGCTGTGCTGTGACACTAACTAGAAGATACTACGATCTCTGTCGATGTTAACCCTACTAGTACACAGCTGGCATGCCACCACCTTTAATTAAATTAAATTAAATTAGTCGATGTATCGGTTCAAGTTAATTGCATTACACGTAGTTATGCGCGTCTAATATAAATAAGCCCTTAGTTCCACCAACTTTGCACCTCCAAAGTTTGCACAGTGTAAGATTCTTTATCATATTACCTCAAATCTTTGGACACATGCATAGAGTATTAAATGTAGGTAAAAAAAATAACTAATTACACAGTTTGGTTGTACTTTGCGAGACGAACGTTTTAAGCCTAATTAGTCAACGGTTGGGCAATTATTACCAAATACAAACGAAATGCTATAGTACCGCTACAGTGCACAGTGCTTTTTGGATGTGCAAAGTTTGGGCAACTAAACGCACCCTAAATATAAACATGTAGCTGAACATGGTGGCTCCAGCTGCATGAATTGCTTGACCTGGCAGAAATGCTGAAGTACTAATGAACTGAGAGGGACATGACCCAAATTTTCCACGCTCTGGATTTGGAATGGATGGATATATATGCGTCCAGATACATTTGATTCCATTCCACTCTTCTAAATCAGGTGACGCCCCCAATACGTCGACTCTTCTCTTCTCTTCCTGTCAGTTGTTTCTAATCTCGTTCATTTCTTCCCCTCCAAAGAAACACGTAGGAGTATCTTAAGGCAAATTTGCCTAAGCAAATGGAAGATGCAACTTCAACTCTGCGTCAGTGTGTAGAATTCTTCAAGGACAAGGGACAGAGCAATGGATTATTCAGAATGAGCACTACTAAAATCTGGTGCTCTTACTGTCAGACTACCAGGGACAGAGCAATGAATCTGACGTAGGAGTATACATCATCCAACATGCTTGGTAGCCATGCTTCAAGTGACTGTGACTCCCAGTCAGTATTATGGCATTACAAACGAGATGTTATGCTCTACTACACAACTCCGATTTACATGCGCCTGCAGACATTGGTCTGGATACAGGAAGATTACAGCAAGAAGCAGGAGAGAAAAAAAACACACGAATGCCCTAACATGACCACAAACAGGGGTCATCACATCCTGCATCAACTAACCACCTGCACAGGTGTGCAGGTGCTACACTGGGCATTTGAGCCACATCAGGAAGAATTCAGTAAGCAACTGGAACTACCGCTGGGCCTTCTAGTCTAGCATGTCGCATCCCTGAAGAATTCGGTAGGGATTTGTGGCGAACACTGCTTCTTTGCAACAAATTTGTACTGAGGAAAGGAAAGGGAGAGGATGGCATTAGCACTAACAGTACAGTTGTTAACTGAAGAAATTCAGGACCAGGTCCAGTTACCTTATGTTGACTGTACTTTTCTCTGATTGCTGGAAGGTTGCTCCCAGGACCAACGCTGAAAAGGCGATGCAATGCCTTAACACAGTCGCTCAATTCCGACGGCTTGTACTGCGTGTAATGAGCAAGTGTGGAGTTCTGCTTCCAGTTGCAATGGGATGTGTAAGTTAGCTCCTAAGACATTTCCTTATGCAACTGCAACAAATATATGTATGAAACAGCAACATGATGATGCCACCTACCCAAGGATACTTTGTTGGCTGGAGTATAAATCTCGCCAAGAAAATAGCTGAGGCAGCTATTAGTGATGGAGGGTAAGAGAGTAGATTGTACTCCAGCAGCGATAGCTCAGCGATGTAATTGGCGAGGAACTCGAGATGCAAAGCAGGATCCTGTACAAAGAGAAATTATCAGTGAACTCATGTCATATATGTAACTTATTAAGGAATTCCTTCCAGTAACCATTAGCTGGCTATGTGGCAGTACCTCATCACACGCTTGTGCAGAACGAGCAAATCTCCTATTGTAACCAAAAAGAAAAGAGTTAGTGGCAAGTTAGATCAGTATAATTAATTTTACTAAAATGAAATAGAACAGGAAGCACCTCAAAAAGCACTTTGCTGTAGGTGCTGTCATTTCAAACTTCAAGTAATTCAGCACCGAAGCTTCCATTTCTAGAACCTTTAAACGTACAAGTCAATCAGTGACGATGACAAACAAAGGACTATCAGATATGGTCTACTGTATTTTTCTTTAAAGAATGATCGGGAACAAACATATCACAAACCTCATCTCTGAAGTATGTATTGTCTGTTATGTAGCAGAATTCTTCTACTTGGGGTGCACATATCTCCTCGTATTTTCTGAATTTGAAGTTTCCAACACGTCAAAGTCAGTATGCAGCCTAATGATAACTGAGGACAACTGAAAGAAGTAAAGGGAATGAGTAACAGAATCTTACGCAGCTATAAGCATGCAAGCAACACCAAGTAATTGCAGCCTTTGGCGGTTGATTTCGTTGCCAGAAAGATAACGGTCGATGTAGTTAACTGTCAGGTACAAAGTATCAGGAACGAGACGGTATTCTTCAGCAACCTGCACGAGGAAAAATCATGAATACCACGGAAAGTTGACAAGATTTTTCTTTAGGCTTTTCTTATGTTTAGAAGAAAAGGCTTACTTCCACGAGCCAGTCTATCAAAATTGCCCTCATGCTTGGGTTGACATCTTTTTGAATCGTTTCCATGAAATCAGTTGATGGTCTTTTCTTTGTCTGCCAGAAAGTAAAGCACTATTAGTAAAAATCAAAGAAGAATCAGGGTTTTCTAGGACTCTTTAACGTCAGATCAAGCGTAGCCCAAATTTTCCTCAGAACAGAATTAGATATTCGGCCCGTTCGTTGGTTGGTTTCTGGGCTGATAAGCCCGGATGGTGCTGGTTTGTTGTGAGAGAAAAACACTGTTGACTGGCTGATAAGCCCTGGCTGAAACCAACAAGCGAACAGGCTGATTCTTTCGCTCAAATCGAGTTTCATTAATGCACCAACAATGAAACTTCACATAAAAAATCAGAAAGTGTTCCCACATTGGTAAACTGCAATTATAAAATGATCAAACACACTTGAAGTAAGTATTACTACGGCCTAGCTTATTTAGTGGCATCAATGCAGAGATTTTGCAGTCAACCCAAAATTCCTTATGTTCAGTGCTTGAGGGGAAACCATTTTGGCACCAGGGTTGAGGAAAGAATGTGTCACCTCAGCCTCTCGCAGATGCATGTAGATGTCAGAAGCCAGAGTAGCGCACAACTGTGGATCCTCCAAGTCGTTGTCAACATCACAGACGCGGTCAATTTCCATTGGGGCAGGGGCATTTTTCTTCCATTTATTTTCTGAAAAGGAAAGTAGACCACATGCGACTGAATCAACAATTTTTTTTCGACAAAATACACTTAAAAATGGAGATCTTAATATGAATCTCAGCAGACCTTCAACGTCTCTATCTTCTGATATACGCAAATGTTCATCCGCCCGTCGCTGCAACGAAGCCAGCATCGAGGAATCCTCATTGTCTATGTACTCAAAGT